GCCTCCTGAGTGCTGGGACTAAAGGCATGCACCGCCAATGCCCAGAAAAACATATAGCCTAGGCTGGCCTCAAACTCGTGATCCTCCTGCCTCTGCCTCCTTCAGCAAACCCTATCATCGTGTACCACCACAACCGGCACAGCCAATCTATTAAATCCCCTCTAATATATATTCATTCTATTGACTCTGTGTCTCTAGAGAACACTAATATACTTGGGGACCACAAGCCCAGCCTCTAGCTGTGTGTGCCATCCCAACTGACACCAGACCTGTTCGTTAAGTCATCTCTGATCCTTTGCCTGGTCAGGCTGCACCTGATTGCAGCCCATGCCATCTGTAGTACTAACCCAACTACCTACTTCCTATCACAGGACAATGAAGCAACGCTGGCTTTGTTTGAGATGATTTCGTGGGGGTTCCACAGATTGTTGACACATGTCTGATATTTTGTGGAAGATGCACAGATGACCGATCAGAATCCCAGAATCCTGGCACTTAGGAGCCCAAGGCTGGAGGACTACAGGTTTGAGGCAGCCTAGCTACACAGTAGGATCTTGTTTTTAGATAAAATCTGTTTATCTAAATGATGCAACAAACATTATTTTAAAAAGTACAATGATTTAGGATTCCATAGAACTAAAATGACTAAAAGGAAAAATAGCAATTTTAACTTTGGAGCAATTAGGACTTTTGCACATCGCTGATGGGAATGTAAGTAAGAGCAAATTGTTAGACATAGTCTTAGGAAGTTAAACATTCATCTGCGCTATTAACTAGCAATGCCATTTATAGGTACTTAGCAAAGTAGCTGGTTCAGTTTCAGATCTGCAGTAAGAAATTCATAATGAGAGGAGATGGAGAGAGGGAGGAAGGAAGAGAGGGAGGGAGGAAGGAGAGAGGCAGGGAGGGAGAGAGGGAGAGACAGAGAGAGAACAATGCAAAGGGTTTCCTGATGCTGAATATGTATTCGTTGCTTAGGCTTGTCAGAATGAAAAAAAATCAAACATAAATGGGATTAAGCCTGTAATAACTATGCACCAGTGAGCAGAGAAGTCAGTGGGGGGAACACAAGCCCTGTGCGGTGAGGATGCACTCGGCAGCCATGGAAGGAAACCCTGACAAATGGCCTGCTCTCATTAACAAATGACTTACAAGAGGAAGAGAGCAAGAACAGGAACCAAAGGCTAAATAAGATGTGAGGACACATCAAAGCGAACACAGCTCTGACTGTTCACGACAACAGGGACCTGATAGTCTGCCTTCTCCAGAGATCGTCTAAACTGGGCTCTAGTTTGCTCTCTGTCGTGTGATCAAACACTGAGCAAAAGCAACTTGGAGAGGAAAGGGTTTATTTCTGCTTCCACTTTCAGGTAACCACTAAGGAGAGTCAGCGCAGGAATTCAAAACCAGAAACCTGGAGGCAGGGATGGAAGCCGATCCCACAGGGGAACACTGCACACAGGCTTTGCTCCCTAACCCTAACCCTCACCAGGGTGGTGGCTTGTACTTACAACCCCAGCACTGGATGGGGCAGAGACTTGTGGGTCCCTGGAGCTCACTGGTCTGACAGTCTAGCCCAATGGATGAGTCCCAGGTTCAAGGAGAGACACTGTCTCAAAAAATATAGTGGAAAGTCACTGAGGATGGCAATGAATATCACCTCTGCTCTTCACATGCACACACACACACACACACACACACACACACACACACAGTCTCTATATTCCCAGAAGATACTAACCTAGGGATTGAAGAATAAGAAATCAGAACTGTAGGTAAATTCCAGGATTTCTTAAGATGGTTTATTAGCCTGTATTTCTCCAACATTTCATGCATGCAATATTGGGGAAACAATTGACTATAACAATAATAAATAGCAAGTGATTTTTTAGAAGGTTATATACAATTTTCAGGCATTTCCCTTTTTGATTGTGAGCCTAGCCTTTAACGGCTGAGCCATCTCTCCAGCCCAATATTTCCCTTTTTCTACAAAGCTCATACAGTGGGGTGGGTGTGGCAGTACATGCCTGTAATTCCAGTATGCAGGAGGCTGGGGCAGGAGGCTCATGAGGGCCAGGTCTTCTCTCTGATCTTCTAGAGCAACCCAGGCCTGTCAGACTCTCTCTGGTCATGGTTACTTCTCCCTTCTGGGCTAGCCTTATCTCAGTCTGTCACCTGTCTGGTGTATCCTCTGGTGCCATCTCCCTGTCACCTCATCTTCTCCAGTCATTGTCTGAATTCACCTTCTGTCATTCTCTATTGTGTACGTCCTTGTCTGCTTCCTGTCTTCCTCTGCCCCCCACACGGAATGTTCTTGCTGAATGAAAAAAAAAAGAAATAAAAAGGAAGGGAACATGACTGGTCCTGGATTCTGGCACCAAATGAATGAAAAAGGAAGGAAGGAAGGAAGGAAGGAAGGAAGGAAGGAAGGAAGAGGAAAGGAAACACGGCTGCTCCTTGGTATGGTGGAGGAAAAGGTTTATTGTAGATATATGGGAGAGCATATTCAGATTAGGGACATCTGGGAGAGTCCAGAGTGGACATGACCAGATTCAGCCGGGCCATGTGGAGGGGGGAAAGGGAAGGGAGAGGGGAGAGAGAGGGACCAGGTGTAGCAGCCAGGAGGCCCAAAATACAACGAGTGGGTAACCAAAATGGTTAGATTATACAAGGAAGAGTAGGCCGGCCCCTGGCTAGTGACCCTCAACTCAGGCTTAATTCCGATCATGATCAGTAGGTGGCGGAAAGGTACCATGGCTGAAGTCTAGACTAATCCACGTGCGCGCGCGCGCGTGCGGAGGGAGTACCCGGATTTACCCAAGAGCCATGCTTGCTGTGCCTGTGCACAGGCCTTGCTTGGGGACAATGGAGAGCACCGAGGACAGCTGACTTCAATGCCTGGCTTTGACACTAGTTGGGTGACCCACGAAAGTTGCTTCTATATGTGGGTGGGGAAAACCTCGGAGGATTTCCGGGGCCGTGGACAGAGCCTGGATCTGCAGAGATCCCATGGCCACCTCAGGCTCCAGCCACCCGCTCTGCACCTGTGCCCACGGCAGGACACGGGTGAGGGCAAGCCGCCAGCTCGCTGACTCCCGCAGGCCTCCAGCTGCCCCTGCACAACCCGCAGAGGTTCGCAGGCGCGTCCTCTCCCAGCCTCGTTCTGGCTGTCGCACCTGTTCCCTTCTGGGAACGCAAAACTCCTCCTGCCCCCTTCTCTTCTCCATGACCTTGACACTTGAATCACTGGGAAGCGAATCTGATTTCCCGACCTCAGATTTCCTCAATCTGCTCGCTCCAAACCTCTGCACAGGCGCAAATGCATCGTGAGCCCTCCACCCTGCCCTGCCTGGCTTGAGGGCCCACCCGCTCCCGGAAGGACTTCTAAGCATTCTCACTCATAAAGAGTGGCTTCTGGCCCAAAAATGAACCTTTCCTCTTCCCTTGGTCCCCTTCTTCCTGCAGCTCCCCCTTCCTCCTTCCTATTGCCTCTGTAGCCACCTTCCAGAGAGAAGATGGCCGGTGCTGGGCAGCTCCTCCCTCCCTCTCCTTGGACCGTGCAGCCCTCAATGGCATCAGAGTTCTTCACTCTTGTCTCACCTCGCCTCTTACCTCAGCAGCCTGGGACAGAGCTGAGCATCCTTCTTTTGGCCCCAAGACTATGAAGGCTACCCAAGACGGACTCCTCTCACTCTGTGTATTTCTCCTCCTGACCTCTCCTCAGAGACTGAATCTTGTAGGACCCACTTGGCCTGTCTTGTCAAACTTGATGAAGCAGTCTTGATCCCTCCCCACCCCAGTACCCTGTCCATGAAAGGGCAGGCCTGGCCCTAAACCCCAAACTCTGTTTTTACTTCCCCTCATCCCTACCCACGCCCAGCTTTCACCTGCTCTAATTAACATAAAAACCCTGACTCAGTAGGATGCGTGACCAGCCAGCCTGGACCCTCTTCCTGCCTCATCCTAACCTCCCTTCTCCACTCCGCTCACTCTCTTGGGTCTTCTACCTTTACTGGAAGTTCATCATCCTGACCTTTGGACTGGCTCTTTTCCCTGTAGGGTTTTCTTGGATGCGCTACCACACTTCCTCTAGGCCTCTGAGAGATCACCTGACCCCTGTACCTCACACTTCTGCTCACTCAGTCCTCTTCCTCTTTTGTTTTTCCTAAGCTCCCACAGCATCTATTGCCATTTATCTATGTGCTTGTTTATGCTGTGTCTTACCTGTAAGGCAAATCTTTTCCTCTCCATGTTGGATATGGGTCCCTTGAGTCTAGAACAGCACCAGGCAAGTGAATGGATGGATGAATGGATGTGTGCATGCATGGGTATCAGACAGATGGGTGATAGATTGATGAATAGAGGGGTGGATACATGACAGGTGGGTGGATAGATGGATGACTGATGGCTGGTGGGTGGCTGGATAGATGGAGAGATGCATAATGGATAATGAATGGATGATGGATGGATGATGGGCAGATGGATAGGTGGGTGCATAGTGGATTGATGGGTGGATAAATGGATGGACAGGTGAGTAAATAAGAGGATGGGTGGTTGATATTGAGTGTATGGATGGTGGATATGGAGGCATGGTAGGATGTGGAGGCATGAATGGATGAGAGATGAATAAATAATAGATGAATAGCCAGGCGGTAGTGACTCACACCTTTAATCTCAGCACTGGGGAAGCAGAGGCAGGCAGATCTCTGTGAGTTTGAGGCCAGCCTGGTGTACAGAGCAAGTTCCAGGTCAGCTAGGGCTACAAAAAGAAATCCTGTCTTGGGCAAAAAAAAAAAAAAAATAGATAAATAATGGATGGATGATGGTTGGCTGGCAGGCTGGCAGGATGGACAGATGGGTAAATGGATGGATGGTAGATGAATGAATAAATGTATATAAATATTCATAGTTCTAGAGAATTAGACCCACAGAACAAACAGAATACACCAGCTCTTGCATCTAAACACAATTTTATATTTTCACCAAAGCCAAGTCATATCTGTACTTTGAAAACTCCTTTAATAGATAGAGATTAATGTTTCCATTCCCAATTTGCAAGCTCTGCAGAGGTCCAGTTGGTAGCACCCTGTCCTGAAGGCTGAACCCTTCCCACGTCCATGGGAGGTGTCTGCAGCCCACACCTTCCATTGCTGTCTGGGGAGAATTCTCTTCAGTTCAAAGATGCTGGAAGATTCATTCAGACAGTGGAGCTAGGCTGTGACACAACCCTGGCAGGTCGTCGGGAAAGCCTTGGGAGAGACTGTGAATCCCAAAAAGCCTCATCAGGTGAAGTTTGGAAGCATTCTTAGGTACCCTTTTGCTAGTGTCCTTCCCCCCCCCCCCCCCCCGAGACTGTCCTTTTTTTTTTTTTTTTTTTTTTGAGATTAAGGTGACTAGCCCTGAAGGGGGTGCTCCTGTGTCAGCTCCTGAGTCCTATTGTCCCTGTCTCCCTCATACCCTACCACCACCACTACCATGGGGATTCATTGTCTAAGGAGATTGAGGGTCAGAAAAGATACCAAACCAGCCACCCAGGACATCCAGCTGGTACTTCAAGCCCACTCAAGAAGGGCAACAGTTTCCATTGTGTAAAAGGGTCTCACTAGTGCAGAAGAGGCCAGGCCTCTGTTTTTCCCCAAGGGTCTACTCCATGCCCTCTGACCTTAGGCTTTCCTCATTGCACATAACATACCAGGTGCCTCTCCATTCTGGCCATGCCCTGGCTTAAGGTGCTGTCTCCAGTTGGCTCCTGTGGAAAAGTGGCTACAGTTCAAGATGTTCATAGCATGTACACACACACCCTCGGTGGTGAGTACTGATCTGGGCAGAGCGGGAGCTCCTCTGAAGTGCAGTCCTGAGAACTGGGGAGTTATCACAAGCCACCAGAGCCAGCAGGGCTTGGGCCATGGCACCAAGGGCTGGACGGCTCCATAGCTGCTCGATTCTACTCCCACTGAGGCACACACAAGGTGCAGCTGCCCAAGCAGTCCCTGACTTAACCTGGGGGAGAGGCTGGGACCCAGTCAACCCCACAGACAGAGGTCGGAGCAAAGTGAGGCGAGATGCATTAGGCCCTGTTAGGGTCAATGTGAAGAGCAGAGTGCTTCCTGGGCCCAGGGCTCCCAAGTTCAGCCCCCCAGCTCACATTGCCAGTCCCAGAGTCTGGAGGAAGCTCCCCATAGCTGCCCCCCCATATCCTTCCCCTTGCTCACCTGAGCTGGGGGCCCATGGCATCATAGATGGTTATGCTCGGGAAGCCATTGAAGGTGGAAGTCATGGAACTCGTGTAGGCACCCGTGTCAGGGAAAATCAGCCAGTCACCCACATCCAGCTCGGGCAGCTGTACCTCCTTCGAGAAGAGCCTGTCGAAGGCATCACATGTGGGGCCATAGAGGGTGCAGGGGAGGAGACGGGGCTCCGAGGGGAACTCCTGCAGGGGGAAGGAAGGAAGGGTCTCATTGCATTGCTAGGATGTTAGACATGGCCCTGGGACACCTGTGACCCTCCAGTAAGGACAGCACCATTCAACCACAGTGAGAGGTGATAGAGTGGTTCTTCTGTGGGAGCCTGGAGCTTACGTGGTGCCAGGGCCATGTCTCAGCCTATCAGCCCACAAATACATCGTGTGTGCATGCTGAGGAACAAGACCAGGCCTCAGAGTCCTCTGCACAATGGAGTCACCTGGGGCGTTTTAATGACGAATGGATGCTGGATTCAACCGGGGGATTTAAATCTATTTATACATATAAGAGCATGGCTGGGCAGCGGGGACTTCAACAGCTTGGCAGGTGGCTTTAATGTGAAGGGAGCTTGGGAACCACTACTCTCCAAGTCTCCTGCATCCCCAACATTCCAGAGTTCCAGGAATGCACATATAGAGAGATGCACATGGAATCATCCAGAGCTGATCAGACCCATGCAGCCTCCACAGACACACGTGCCTGCACAGGTGTGCACCAGGAAACACACAGATGTGTACATGCAGTGTCTCCCGCCCGTGTCCAGCACGACAACTTCAGAGCATGGGTGACCTGAGACTTGGTGACCTCAGGACTTGGTGATCTCAGGACACAGAAGGTCCTCTTACCTTAGCCACAATGGGTATCCTGGGAACAGGCTCCCTGAGGAAGATTCGAAAGGCACCATAATAGCCCTCATTGAGGTAGTATGCCAGCTTCTTGTGGCCTCCTGGGAACAGGAAGTAGATAGGATGAAGTGTTTTGGTGAGGTGTCCCTAATGAGTTCCGACTTGGGAGACTGATTGGATACCATGACCCCTGCATTACAGTTGGAGAAACTAGGTCTTGTCAGAAATCCAAAGGAGTAGATGATGCCCTAGGATTATATCCCCAGACACAGGTTCAGGTGCTTGGACTAGGCCCCTGAACACCTACTGCCTGTGAGGTGGGATTATCCCCTGAACACCTACTGTGTGTGAGGTGGGATTATCCCTTGAACACCTACTGTGTGTGAGGTGGGATTATCCCCTGAACACCTACTGTGTGTGAGGTGGGATTATCCCCTGAACACCTACTGTGTGTGTGGTAGGATTATCCCCTGAACACCTACTGTGTGAGGTGGGACAGAAGCTGTGGCTTTTTTTTTTTTTTTTTTTTTTTTAATGTTTTACTTCAGGATTTGCCAGTGTGTACATTTCCTTCCTTTTAGGGAAGGCTTTATTAACTGCACTTCCCTTCCTTTCCTCCTTCTGTTCTTCCTTCCCTCCTTCCCTCTTCCCTCCCTTCCTCTCTTTCTTATTTACATGGGCTTAACAGGGCCTTGCTTTGCTAGGCAGGTGTCTTACCACTGAACTGTATCCACAGATCTTAGCTTTCCAGATGGGCTCTTAGCATCTAACCCTCCTGAGTGCTGGGATTGCAGTCACGTGCCACCACACCCCACTTTATCTTGTTTGTGTTTATTTGTTTGACATAAAGTCTCATAGCCCACATTGCCTATGTAGTGTTGGCTTGTCTTGAACTCATAATCTTTACCCTCCCTCATCCTGGATGCTGACATAACAGGTGGGTACCAGCATATCTAGTCTTGACACTCTGGCGTCTGGGCTCTGCAGACACAGAGGAGTCTGACCTTCCCTGGCTAGCTGATTCCTAGAGGCAATAATTGTCCTCCAAAATGGCCTCCCTCACATACAACCACTAGTCCAGAGCCCAAGCAGCCAGCTGCTTCCCTTTTTTAAATGTTTATATTTGTTTATTTCATGTGTATCAATGTTTTGCCTGCATGCATGTCTGTGCACCACATTCATGCAGTGTCCATGGAGGCCACAGGTGGGCATGGAACTGAAGTTACAGATGGTTGTGAACCACCATTTGGGTACTGAGCATTGTACACAAGTCCTTTGCAATAAACAGTAAGTGCTCTCAACTGCTGAGCTACCTCCTGCCCTGTGGTCCATTTCCTCAGCTCACTGTTCCAGTCACTTTCTCCTGGTGTTTGTCACCCTAGGGTCAAAGACTAGAGCCATCCTTACACTTTGGGGCCATTGAAATCACCAAGACCAGCCAGAACAAAGCATGTCTTGAATGCCCAACCTCGTCATTTCTTCCCTCATAAATCACAATGGAAGTGGAGTGGAGTGGAGTGTCTCATATCTATGATCCCAGCACTCAGGAAGCTGGGGTAGGAGGGTTGCCACAAGTTCTAGGCCAGCCTAGACTACAAGCTGACCCTATCTATAAATAAATAAATAAATAAATAAATGTATAGTAGGATATAGCTCAGTTGGTAGAATTTGACCAGTATACACAAAGCCAGCACCACATAAAACCAGCCATGGTGTGTAGTGAGATATCCGCTCCCCCACCCCCGCACTGCTGCACTGACCACGCCCATTGATGACATCTCCCATCAATGGTGTGTAGTTGTCTGTGTGTGTGTGTATGTGTGTGTGTGTGTGTGTGTGTGTGTGTTTTAACCCTTTTACTCTTTGGGGCGTGGCACCACCCAGCTCCCAAATAAATGCACAGAGGCTTATGCTTACTTATAAATGCTCAACCTTAGCTTAGCTTGTTGCTTGCCAGCTTTTTTTTAAATTATCCAGTCTACCTTTTGCCTCTGGGCTTTTACCTTTCTCTATTCTATATACCTTTCTTTACTTCTCATTCCGTGGCTGGCCTGGTGGTTGGATGGCTTGCCCCTGACAGCCTCCTCTCCTCTTTTCTTGCTCCTTGATCCTCCCTTCCCAGATTTCTCCTCCTATTTATTCTCTCTGCCAGTCAGCTCTGCCTATGCTTTCTCCTGCGTGGCTATTGACTGTTCAGCTCTTTTTTAGACCAGCCAGGTGTTTTAGACAGACAAAGTAACACAGCTTCATGGACTTAAACAAATGCAATGTAAAAAAAAATGCAATGCATCTTTGCATCATTAAACAAACATTCCACAGCATAAATAAATGTACCACATCTTAAACTAATATTCCACAACAACTGTGGTGTACATCTGTAAACTCAGAACTAGGGGAGTAGAGGCAGGAGGGTCAGAAGTTTAAGATCATTCTCAGCTACATGGCTATTGGAGAAACCAGGAACATTAGTCACTTAGGGGTGTCTCCTCAGTGGAGGAAATAAAATACCTGCATTCTTCCCAGAAAGCTTGGAGTGGGGGTTGTTAATGACCTGGTGCCCTTTTGCTATCTGTAGGGGCAAACTTCACCTAAATCCCCAAGTGTCTATCCCAGACTGTCCCTCCATAGACCTTGATTGTTAGCTTTCAATCAACAGAACCCATCCTTAGGGGAGATGCCACATGTACTTTACAGCCTGCTGACCTCTATGCTGTCTCGATCAGAGCCCACACTAGATTCTTATAGCTATAGAACCCACTCTCGTCATCACGTGTACTTTGTAAAGAAGTTTATATTAGTCACACCTTAAGCTTTATTGTGCACCTGGGATTGGAATGATTGATGCCTGGAAATCTTTTTCCAAATTCTATTGTGTTTAAATATGCGAACAATAAACCACCCAATATTAGACTCCCTGAAGTCTGATCCAGGTTGATGACATCAATCTGAATCGAGTTTTCGTTATCACCTTTTCAAGGCTCGCTTCCCTGCCTGCAGAGACCCCCTCACATGGCAAGTTCCAGGTCAGCCTAGACTACACGAGACCCTATATCCACAAACAAATGTCACAGTGAAGACTCCTTTCTCACCCAATCCACTCTATGTAGATAATTCATGCAGGAATGCCTGTCCCTGGGAAACTGTGTGTAAAAATGTATCTGAGGCAGCTGTCTCCATGTAAGCATGTCTTGCCATAGCTAATTAGAACAAATCCTTAGGACAAATCCTGGGTGTGCTATGAAACGGTGCCCACTCTGACAACACCAACGGCTGCAGATGGCTCCCTCCCTCCCAACACGCTGCCTCTATGGATATTACTCAAACAAACCTGTGGCAGCATTTTCCCTAGCTCCCACATACTCTTGTTACATGATTCCCAGATCCTGCAGGCACAACCGTCTACCAAGCCTGTTCTTCACAGCCATCTTAGTCTCTCTTCACATCATCACTCCTGAACCTGCATTCAGGATTCCACTCAGACTCTGTCAACATCTGGGCAATAGGCAGCCATTTGAATGCTGACTCTGAGCACAGATTTTCTCACCTCTGGCTTCCTTTCTTTCTCCTCCCTATCTCCTTAACCCCGATTCCAGTGGTACCTAGATCAATTCTGTATTGAGTTCATCATGAGGCTAGAGATGAAGGGCACCAGCCCTGTAGTCAGGAAGACATGGGCTGGATGCCCTACTGACTAGCTGTGCTGCCTTGGACAAGTGACTGTCTCTCTCTGAGTCTCCATGCCTACACATGTTCATTGGGGGAGACCCAAAGTTGTCTCACAAGATTGGTGAGCAGACATGAGGTAGACTATGTATTTCAGCTGTCATTGACTTCTGTAGATCGGCAGCTCTTGCTTTTGTTGATGTAATGAATAACAAGCTCTCAAATCCTTATAATTGGCTGTAAGGAAATGACTGAGGACAGGTGTGCTACACCCCAGCATCCTCCAGTGAGACACTTCATCGAAAGGACAGGGGAGGGGATCAGAGTGACGGATAAATATTTACATGTCAATGTCACTCAGTCCTGAATATCAAAGAGGGCTAACCCAGTGGATGCAGACTTGGGAATATTCTCGATTTTGCCATGAATGCATTTCTGGTTCATTCTCTGGGAACATGGCAATACCACCTTCCTCCCACACTCAGAGGCAAAATAGCTGAAGAGCTCTCCTGGGAAACATGGTGATGAGTGTCAAAAGGTACTGTCACCGGAGGATGTCAGCCTTCGGGATGTGTCCGATCACAGACAGTCAGCTCTGTTTTACCTGTTGTGGGAGCTTGTACTCACGCACTCTGTCATTGATAGAAACTGTCCTGCACCAAAGGGTCTGCTCCTGGCTGACTAGGTTTAGTAATGGGTGTCTAGGGTCTTAGAGGCTGAACCTTGCAATTGCTCACTCAAGCCTGGGTAGGCTCACCCATTACCTAGAAGAGCACCTTGGTCTCTGTCCTTCACCTTTCCCTCTTCTGGGAAACAATAAACAGTGCACGGATAGGGTTGATCCAATGCCCAACTCTGATCTCAATTCCCAGAATTAGGCACCCAGGGTATAACCCAGACCCACAGTCCAACCTCTCCCTGAGTCCCAGGGACACCTGGACAGTGGCTACATCTGGCACCTACCTGACTCCAGTGCAGCCTTCTTGGCTATGATGTTCACAGCAGTTGTGCATACAGACTCCATATAGAAACGGCCAGGCTCTGCGATGACCTCTACACCAGTCCCCTCCGGGAAGTACTGGGCCCTGGCTGCATTGATCACTCTAGCCATCTGTGGAGACAGATCCAGCCTCTGCTGTGTCCTGAGTCTATGTGACTCTCATGACCAGCCAGCCCTCTTTCCTTTGTCCCTACAATAGCTGTTGAGACAGCCTCATCTTATTCAAGAAGAAACAGTTAGAAATTAGGCTGGGATAGGCCAAAGCACACAACCAGTGTGTGGCTCTGGCACCCTGAGGAATGTGACATTGCAAATAACTGGCACATGGTCAGCAGAGACAGAATGTCTTTGTGGTCTCCTGAAGCTAAGGGACCATGAGTGTGCACCAGGCCTATCCAAGGCCAGTGGCTAACAGGTCTAAAGAAGGACACAGGCAGGCTGTGGAGATAGCTTGGGGATATAACACCTACCTCATGTGAGGCTGGGAATAAAAAAGAAGAGAACAGGAGGAGGGGGAAGAAGGAAGATAAGGGGTGGGAGTGGAGGAGGACAGGAGAGGAGGAGGGAGAACAGAAGGAAGAAGGAGGGGAGGAAGAACAGAAAGGGGGAAGAGGAAGAGAAGACCATTGTTAGATGTAGCTCCTGATCCTGGACTAGAGCTCTGAGGCAACACAAGAGGCACAACAAATAGGTGCACTCAGACACACTCCCATGCACACACTCTGACACACTCAGGTGCACACACTCAGACACACCCAGGCACACTCCTGTGCACACACTCTGACACACTCGTGTGCACACTCAGGCACACACACCCAGACATACTCAGGTGCACACACTCAGGTACACACACTCAAACACACCCAGACACACTTGGGTGCACACACTCAGACACACTCAGGTGTACACACTCAGACACACTGAGGTGCACACACTCAGACACACCCAGACATACTTGGGAACACACACTCAGACACACTTATAGCCACACATGTCATCAGGTGAAGATGTCTGTCAGAATCAAACCACAGTGTCCGAAAACAGACTCCCAGTTATGCAAGAGTTTATGTACAAACACACAGGCATTCGTGCACACTTATCCCTCCACCTCAAGCTGCTCATGCCCTGGGGCCATCCCTCTCACCTCCTCAAATTTAGCTTTGGAGCCCTCAGTTCCAGGGAAGCCCCCTCCAAGATCCAAGAGACTCATGTGGTGGCCAGCCCTTCGGCCCATCTCAAACACACCATGGCAGTCAGCAATGGCCTGCCTGTAGCTCTGCGGTGTCTGGCAGTCGGAACCCACGTGGAAGCTGAGTGTGGCCATTGGTGTGGAAGACACACAGGTGGAAATTCAAATCAGTGTGAGGACAAAGACACTGAGGAACACCCACCCAGGGGCTGTAAGACCAGTGCCAGCCAGTGACAAGACAATACTGGTCCACTCGGCTCCCATAGGTGTAAGTGTACTTGGTCACAAATCACCCAGTCGGAGCTAATGACCAAGTAGAGTTTTCCCCCAGCTGCCCACTCCTGATGTCTTTGTGAAGGGGTTCTCCTTCTCTTAGCTAAAACCCCACAACCCAGCGCCCCCTGAAGATAAACTGAGGTCAGAGGGGATGAGGTGAGTAAGGATTTCTCATCACATGCAAAGCCTGGCTGGCCAGATGGCTCAGGGAGAAAAGGCATTCACTGCCAAACCCTACTGAGATCAATTCCTGAACCCCACATGGTGAGAGAGAAAAACTGGCTCCTGAAAGTTGTCCTCTGACCCCCAGATGTACTCCATGGCATGCGCACACACAGGCACATACACATGAGTAAATATCTTAAAATTTTAATTACTTTTCAAATTAAAAGAGTGTGTTGGGGCCATGAAACACATAAAAATGGCAGCAGTCCCTCTCTCTCTCTCTCTCTCTCTCTCTCTTTAAAATAGTATCTCATATAGCACAGCTATCCTCCAACTTGTTATATAAGCAAGGGTGACCTTGAACTTCTCACCCTCCCACCTCCATCTCTGGAGTGCTGGGATTAAAGGCTGCACACCACCCTGGTTTTATTTGGTGCATACCAGACAAGAACGACACCATCTGAGCTATGTCCCTAGCCCCACCCCCACCCCCGCCCCGTTTTTTGAGACTGGGTTTCCTATTGTCCAGCCAGCTCTTGACCTTGTCACCCTCCTGCCTCTGCCTCCAGAGTACTGGGATTACAACTGTGTGTCCCCACACCCATGCTTCAGAATCCCTTCAAGAGCAAAATGAATGCACGTATCCTGGAGGAATGATATGTAAAAAACTTCCAAGTGAGATTCGCTCTGTAAAGTGATTAGACCCCAAGGGAAGAAAAGAAATCAGCAGCATCAATCCTGACTTCATTTAAAATTCCAATTTTTCTCATCTTGGAGATTTTGCATTTGTTTTGATTTTTTTTAAATGCTGTTTGAAAATGTTGTATATCTGGAGCGTTAAGTTTTTGATGTTTACTTCAATTTGTCCCCTAGGCTATCAGAGTCTCACATCCTCTAGGCCTAGCAAATACACAAAGCAGAGGTGTCCCTGAGAGTCCTTGGCTGCCTAGGGACAGCAATAGAAATCAAGACAGGAAAGGCCAGTGCTCACGTACGAGGCCCCCACCACGGCCAACCCCAGCTCTCGGGCAGCCTGGAGCAAGTGTCCACAAGCCTCCAAACGAGCTCCAAACTTGTCGTTCAGCGGGAAGGTGCTTTGACTGTTCTGGATCTGTATCCTGAGGACCAATCTGGAAGAGCAAGAAGCAAGAAGGTGGCGTGGGCACACAGGAACCCCGAGGCCCTCCCACCTTCCCACCCATCCCTGCTACTGAGGGTGGAGACCAAGGAGTGAACACATGTTATTTACAGAATTTTGCCAGGCAAAAACAAGTAGGAAAGAATCACAATTAAACTTTCTAAAGAATCTGAGACATAGGCTGGGTGGTAGTGGCTCAGGCCTTTAATCTATTATCTTGGGAAGTAGAGGTAGGCAGGTCTCTGAGTTCGAGGTCAGCCTGGTCTACAGAGTGAGTTCCAGGGCAACCAGGGCTACACAGAGAAACCCTGTCTTGAAAAAATAAAAAATAAAAAAAAAAAACAAAAAACAAAAAACAAAAAGAGATGTCACACAGCTTTCCTAAGATCACACAGCATATGGCTAATGAATCCGAAATGTGAGCTTTGCTCTGACTCTAGAATAAGTACTTTTTCTAAGACAGCATGGATGCCAGACCTTCTCAAGCCAAGCTCTGTCCAGTGCCAGTGCAGAGACAAGTCCATTTGGTGCTAATGTGCTCCCAAGAAGGCACTGACCGCCTGACTGAACCCTTGTACCTGCCATCTGGCAGAGGTTTTCTTGGAGCCACCTTCTACCTGGTTGCTGAGGTCCAGATCCATCTGTTGGAGTCCCTTGGCCCACTGTTTCCAGATGTATCCCTGCCATCTCACCTAGCCCCAGGGTGGTGCTGGGCCACCTTAGCCAGTTCCTCCTCACTGTCGAAGGTCATAAGCTGCACCCCGAAGCGGGCTGCGTACTGGATGTGGGAGACGGCCTTGCAGGGGTTGGCGAAGATGATTCGTGAGGGGGCCACGCCCAAGCCCAGCACCTGCTCCAGCTCCCCCTAGCATGGGTGAAGGCCAGAATTGGAGTTGCCTTGCTGTTCCTGCCTTCCTGTTCCTGACTCTTTGGGGATAGGATCTCAGCCTGAATGGGGATGCCTTGCAATGAATCCCTTCTGGAACCAGGTCCGTCACTGGGAGAGCATCAGGTCCCAAAGAAACCTGGACAAGTCTCACTCAGTACCTGTGGCTTCTCCCAGCACTTCTCACGCTGCCCCCCCAACCTCTCCCACCCAGGGACTGGCTTTGCTTCCCTCCCCCCAGCTTCTGATTCATATGACTCAGGCGTTTTGTCTATGTGATCTCTTGCTTCCCATGCACCCTTGTGGTCCTCTTGACCTCCTCTTCTCTTCCCCTCTCACTCCCCCCCCCTCTCCTGGTCCAGTCTATTCTGCTGGCCAGGTTCAGTCTATTCTGCTGGACTCTTCTGGATGCCTCTGGCTGCTCCTTCCTTCATGTCTACAGTAAAAACCTCCTCAGCCATACTTACCTAGGAGCCGTCACGTCCTTGTCTTATTCAGCGTTGGTCCCATTTTACACAGGGAGAAACTGAGGCTCAGAAGGGTGACTGGCTTTGCCAGGAAAGGACCCGGTTCCCTAGTTCAGGTTACCTGGTCTTGTCACATAGCCATGTGCAAGGCTGATCACAGCAATTTGCTCATTTATTCATGTAAAAGCGTCTAAGGGACCAGGGCTACTGCTCAGTTGGTAGAGGGCTTGCATAGTATGCACAAAGTCCTGGGTCCACTCAGCACCTAGTAAACTGGTGGCCTGTAATCTCAGCCCTGGGAAGGTAGAGGTGGGAGGACCGGAAGTTCCAGGTCACCCTCGGCTGTGTAGTGAATCCCAAAACAGCCTGTTCTACATTAGACTCAGCACAAATAAAAACCATCAGTGCAACAACAAAAAGCCTCAACATGCCAGTAACCATTGTGGGGGCCAGAGTCCCCATCCCTGATCTCCTGACCACTGGGCAGTGTTTCTCCAGAATGTGACAGGCCCATGGAGAGGTGACTGGCAAGCTGGCACAGACTCACCTGACTGGCACAGTCAAAGCCCGCGCCCAGAGCAGCCAGGACTCGGAGCACCCAGGGCCTGCTGTTGCACTTCACTGCATAGAAGGGCTGGACTTGGGGCAGGGCCTGGAGGAAGGCCTGATGGCGGCCGACCAGCACATCCAGGTCAAGTACCATGAAGGGGTCTTGGTGGCCCTGTTAGGGCAAGAACAAGAGAGGGAGGTGGGGAGGTTAGGTCCTGGAGTCCTCTTCACTCCATGACAAAACCAGTACTGTTCCTCTAATTTTCTTTTCCTCTCCTTCCATTTCACTTTGTGGGGTTTTTGTTTTGTTTTGTTTGGCTTGTTTGTTTTTGTTTTTCTTTTTTGTTGTTGTTTGGAGGCAGGGTTATTCTGTGTAGCCTTGGTTGTTCTGGAACTTGCTCTATAGAACAAGCTGGCCTCGAACTCACCACTGACTGTTTCTCCCTTTTCAAGGGCCAGGGAAAACAAAAGCTTAGTCAAAAAAAAAAATAATAATAATAACAAGTGACTTGAGATCATGCAGCAAGAATATGATGAAGAGAGGATTTTATTTTTTTAATCTAATTTTGTTTTTTGAGACATCATCTCTTCTATGTAGCTGGCTGTCCTAGACTAGCTCTGTAGACCAGGCTGGCCTCCAACTTAGAGATCCACCTGCCTCTGCCTTCTGAGTTCTGGGATTAAAGAAGTGTACCATCATGTGTGGCGAAGAAAGGATTTGAACTCTGGTCTTTTTATCTCTTTAAAGAGGTGCAGGGGGGCTGGAGAGATGGCTCAGCTATTAAGAGCATTGACTGCTCTTCCAGAGGACCTGAGTTTGATTCCCAGCACCCACATGGCAGCTCACGGCTCCAATTCCAATACACATGAAATAAAATAAACAAATTATTTTTTTAAAAAAAGTGCCAGGAGGTAGCTTTGGTCTACAGACAGCTTCAGCCCCCAGCAATGGCTTGGTTGAGGGTAAACCTGAGTGTCAAGGAAGGGAACGTAAAGGATAGCAGAGCTCACTATGCCCAGTACAGGCCCTGGGAAAGCCTGGTATGATGGCCTCCAAGCTGTAAGCCTTCTTGGGTACCAGTAATGGAAGGGGTAGGGTTCACCTTCCCTCCTTACCTCGGCAGAGAGCTCCTGAATCTTCCTCAGGACCAGCTGCCGGGCAGATCCCTCTGGACCCAGGATGATGGGCTCTGATGGCCACATGCTTCCCGAGGCTCCCAGCTTTTCCCTTAGGTCCCCAGGGCAGGTGCTCATCCCTGAGACTCCAGCTGAGGTGTTCTCTGGGCACAGTTCTGGCATCCTAGAAAGGACAACTCTGTGGACCCAGTCTCTTCCTTCCACAACTCCTGCTGTCTCTCCCACAGTCAAAACAGCCAGGTCATTGAAACCTGGGCCCCACTCAGCTGCAAGAATCCCACCTTGCCCTGTGATATTTTCCATCTTTACAGCAGGCTACTGATGGCACATGGCCTGAGCCATGGATGCAGGTGACAAACAAGGCGCAGTGGCCATTCTATCAGAAGGGAAGCATATGACTCTCTTCCAGGCTCCTTCCCACACTCTCCCCATTCAAGATGAGAAATTGGGACTCAGTAGAGCAGTCCAACTGTATGTCATAGGACATTAGACGTGAGACCTGTGACTGCTCTCACCAGGAAAGAAAGGGACTTTCCTCAGGTCGGGTGGCCTCCTGGGTCCCCCTGAAATAGCCAGAGAGCCTTCAGACCAAAGTGGAGTCACTGGCATCCAGAGAGCATCTGGTCATTACAGGAACTATGTCCATGACCCTTCCACACGTGACTCACCTTGTAGCCATTATGACCAGTTTCCTCAAGTACAGCACGGAGAGCCGGGGTGATGGGAAAATACCTGTGGGGAAATCCGGTTCCAACAAGATTTCAGGGTACAAGAAGCCTACCTTCAGCCCAAACCTCCAGGAGCGATCACACCTTCCAAGGTGTGCCCACTGACAGGTGTTCAGGGATGGGAACACCTGTCAAAAGCAAGTGCTGGCCACCTTGAGAGGCAGGAGAGCCCAGAAACTTTTTCACCTCTCCCCTCTTCCCCAGAGGTGTCCAGCTCACTCTATAGAGGGGGTGCGTCTGGGAGCAGAATCCAAAACTAATCAGGTGAGCCTGCAGGCTGGAGCATGTGCTGGGCTCTCATGCACCCCCTTGCTCTCTGCTGCCAATTTAACTGGTAGTCTATCTGTGCTACTCCATCTTGCCCCACCCTATCTCTCCTCACCCTCCCTTTCTGTGAGAGCCTCTAAGGACTCTCTGTGACCTGATGACCCTCCCAGGATGGAACCATCACCTTGGAGCAGGACCAACTCTAGGATGTCATCTGTCACCTTTTAAGAAGGTACCTTCAAGTTACAACTCAAGTAAGTTCAATATTATTTCAGTAAACAATGACTATGCTCCTATTGATTCCTGGGCAGAGTGGGTACACCAGGGGCTAGTTACAGAAGGGCCTAGGTCTTCCTATGACAGGAGAGCTGGAGACATGGTCGGTCTTAACCCAGACATAAACCTACTCATTAGTCCCTTCCTACAGCCTGCCTCTTGCCTGAAGCCCCTCTGTGGTCCTCCCTCTCCAGGATAGCAGATGGCAAAGCCTGCCTTCCCACTCCGAAAATGTGGCCATGGGTGCATCAGTTAACTGTTCTGAGCTTCAGTTTCTTCATCTGGAAAATGGGGCCTCAGGTGACAAGGGGCGGAATCTGAAACAAGGGGCGGCAAAATGCCTTGCTTGAGAGGAACACACACACACACACACACACACACACACACACACACACACACACACACACTGACTGGCACACATGCACACAAACACACACACACACACTGACTGGCGCACATGCACACACATGCTGACTGGAACACATGAACACACACACACACACTGACTGGAACATATGCGCATGTTTCTTTTGAGGTCATAGAGTCTCCTGTGTTGATTAAAATAAGAGCAGGGTAAAAATAGCATGTTTATCCCAACCCACAGGACTCCGAATCCTGCTAGAATCATGGGGAAGAACCATGGTCCACAGACAGACTCTGAGCAGGAGGGTTCAGCCACTGGCCAGCAAGGACAGTTTCACAGAACAAACTGGATGGTAGAAAGAAGAGCTGATGCCAGTAAAATTACTGTGAAATCGTTCAATGTGTGTTATTTTGCCTCCATGTATGTCTATGCAACATATTCCTGCTTTGTGTCCACAAAGGTCAGAAGAGGGCACTGGGTCCCCTGGAGCCAGAATTACAGATGGTTGTGAGCCACCATGTAGATGGTGAGAATTGAACGTGGGTCCTCTGAAATATCAATCAGTTCTTTTAACCACTGAGCCATCTCTCCAACCTCTAAACATGTGTTTTTAAACAAGCCATAAAGCATATTTAAGAAAGCAGATGGAAATAACATAACTATAGGAGGTGACATTTTAAGCTCATATATGATCAAATAGAGGACACTATGGAAGTCTGATTATATGAATTTATGAATAATGCAAATTCACAATCATAAAGCCCGATGCTTCTTGGCATCACAGGATGTGGGAGTTGGTTCTTGCCTAGCTTTGACTTGATGGTGGTATAACTTAAGTAGGTGTGCCCTTGATTTAGGGATGTATTATTTTGATACCTCAGATCTCGGACCCCATAGCTTCTTGGCTTTTAGGCTGAAAGTAAGTATAGTATTGAATCTTTCTGTAAACATGTTTTTTTAAAGATTTTATTTATTTATTATGTATACAGTGTTCTGCCTAAATGTATGCCTATATGCCAGAAGTAGGCACCAGATCTCATTTCAGATGGTTGTGAGCCATCATGTGGTTGCTGGAAATTGAACTCAGGATCTCTGGAAGACCAGCTAGTGTTCTTAACCACTGAGCCATCTCTCCAACCCCAGAAGATGTGCTTTACTTATTTAAATGTGTGTAAGTATCTGTGTTAGTATATGCACATGTGTGTATGCTTGGGTACACATGCCTGTACAGGTGTGAGGATGCCTGGCTTATTACATGGGTGCTTGTATTTGAAGTCCAGTCCTTGGGATTTCACAGCAAATACTCTTAATTTCTGACTCATCATTCTACTTTCTAATATTGACTCTTAGACCCCAAGAAGCATTGGATGGTGACAGGTACCTAATTGCAACTGGCCAGCAGGTCCCCTTGGCCACTAGACAGGGTCAAGGTGTTCTTGTAGGCTCAGGATCTGGTGATCCTCCAGCTGAAAGCCTCCAGCCCTTTCCTCTCCCATCAGGGGCCAAAGCTTCCAGGTTCCCAGGGACTCAGAAGTCCAAGCAGGGACAGCAGGAGGAGCCTGGAGTCGAAGGAGGATGTTCAATGGATCAAGAGAAGATCCCTTAGCCACCAGGGTCTCTTGAATCCCACTGTCAAACCATGGAGGAGCTGAATAAGACCTGCAGCTTTTGTTCCAAACAAGAAGGTGAAAAGGCTCTTGTTTCCATGGAGACACCATCCTCTCCTACCAGATAACTATGGAAAAGCCTATCTCTAGCTTTGCACCTCCCCAATTAGACCAAAGCCCCTAAAGTCTCAGTTTCATCATCTCAGGAAGGTCCTGAGGTTGGGTTGGGAGGGGCAGGATGGGATGGGGTGATATGGGATGAAATAGGGTGGGATGGATGGGAAGGTGTAAGGTGAGAGGGGAGGGGATGGGAGGGGCAGGATGGGATGGGATGGGATGAAATAGGGTGGGATGGATGGGAAGGTGTAAGGTGAGAGGGGAGGGGATGGGAGGGGCAGGATGGGATGGGATGGGATGGGATGAAATAGGGTGGGATGGATGGGAAGGTGTAAGGTGAGAGGGGAGGGGATGGGAGGGGCAGGATGGGATGGGAGGGAGTGGGATGGGGCAAGATGACATTGAATGACATGAGATGACACAATGTGACAGGTGAGAGAAGGTCTCACCTGTGAGAAGCTTAGCTAAGTGCCTGGTTCTACTAATAACCAGGACAATGAAGTTGATGGCAACAGTGACAATGACTTTTAAGAACAATCGGCTCACCCTTTCTTTGTTGGAACTTTTTATCCTTTAGGTTTTCATTTTACTTTGGGGGTGTAGTCCCCAGAATCCCAGGGTCTCCCACCTGCTAGGCAAACACTTCACCATTGAGATACACTTTCAGCCCCAAACTTTGTTTGATTTTTGATTGACACCTAAACAATTATTTATGGAGTACAGTGTCATTTTTTATTAATGTAAATATCACAGAATAATAAACTTGGAGTCATTAGCGTGTCCCTCACATTAAGTGGTTACTGTTGCTTTCTGGTGAGAGCAATTCAAATAGTCTCTTTAGCTATTTTATTCCCTAACTTTATTATTATAGTGTGTGCGCATGTGCGTGCGTGCGTGAGTGAGTGTGTGTGTGTGCGTGTGTGAGTGTGTGAGTGCGCGTGTGTGTGTGTGTTTGCATTATGTGCAGGCATCCATGTGCCACAGCACTCGGGTGTAGCAGAAGATAACTTTCAGAAGTGTATGTTTCCTGCCTGCACCGTGGGCTTTAGAAATCAGAGTCAGGTTCTCATGCGTGCACTGCGAACATTTCTACCCACTGAGCCATCTTGCCTGCCCTCTCTCAGCAGTATAAAAATACATGGTTTAAAGTACATTGTTAACGGCTCTCTGCTCCTCCCTGTTCTAGAGACAGCCGCATCTTTTCATGCAGTGCCAGCCTCGTTTCTGAGACACAATGGTGAACGGATTTGGCCATATTGGACGCCTGGTTACCAGGGCTGCCATCAATTCTTGCAAAGTGGACATTGTTGCCATCAATGACCCCTTCATTGACCTCAACTATATGGTCTAAATGCTCAGTATGACTCTACCCACGTCAAGTTCAAGGGCACAGTCAAGGCTGAGAATGGGAAGCTTGTCATCAACAGGAAGGCTATCACCATCTTCCAGGAGCGAGATCCTGCCAACATCAAATGGGGTGATGCTGGCGCCAAGCATGTTGTGAAGTCTACTGGCATCTTCACCACCATGGAGAAGGCTGAGGCTCACTTGAAGGGTGGGATCAAAAGGGTCATCATCTCCATCCCTTTTGCTGATGCCCCCATGTTTGTGATGGGTGTGAACCATGAGAAATATGACAACTCCCTCAAGATTGTCAGCAACGCTTCCTGCACTATCAACTGCTTAGCCCCCCTGGCCAAGGTCATCCATGACAACTTTGGCATTGTGGAAGGACTTATGCCCATAGTCCATGCCATCACAGAGGACTGTGGGTGGCCTCTCCGGGAAGCTGTGGCATGATGGGTGTGGGGATGTCCAGAACATCATCCCTGCATCCGCTGGTGCTGCTCAGGCTGTGGGCAAGGTTATCCCAGAGCTGAACGGGAAGCTCACTGGCGTGGCCTTCCATGTCCCTACCCCCAATGTGTCCATCGTGGATCTGACATGCCGCCTGGAGAAAGCTGCCAAGTATGACGACATTAAGAAGGTGGTGAAGCAGGCATCTGAGGGCCCACTGAAGGGCATCCTGGGCTATACCGAGGACAAAGTTGTCTCCTGCAACTTCAACAGAGATTCCCACTCTTCCACCTTTGACACTGGGGCTGCATCGCTCTCAATGACAACTTCATAAAGTTCATTTCCTGGTATGACGATGGATACGGCTACAGCTACAGGGTGGTGGACCTCATGACCTACATGGCCTCCAAGGAGTAAGAAGCCCATCCTAAACCATCCACCCCCAGCAAGGACATGAGCAAGAGAGAGGCCCTGGCTGCTGAGCCGTCCCTGTCCAACAATCCCCCACACTAATCTCCCTCAC